AATAAAAATATGTGGAATTTTCTTGTAGAGAAGTTCAAATGGTAAGGGAACATTTGAAATTTTCAGTCTTCCTGAAGATCAGAAGGACTTTGAGAATAATGCATTTTTCCCTCAACAAAGGGCATCTGCAGGGCTTAATCTGCTGAAAAGAATCATTCTGACAGTCTTAATGTATTCTTTTCAGGAAAGCCCTGTGCAGAGAATTCCACAGGAGAAAAAAAAAAAAAATCAGTAACCCAGGATAGCACCAATCTAAACCATGACAGCCCTTTTATAAGTAGATGAGGTTAAAGTATTTTCGATATATTCTAGATACTAGATTGAACTAGGAAATAGGAATGATAATCCTGAATATTACATATTCTTCACACTTCCTTGGTGGACTGATACTAAAACAAATATTTAAAAGATTTGCCAGTCTTTCCAAGGAAATCTCCTGGGAAAACCATTTTCAGAATTCTGCTGTGAGGCAAAAATATCCCTAAGGTTCAGTTTGCATCAATGTTGTAACTATGAACAGTAACCCCAATAATAAGAATAATTATAGCACAATATTCATTATAACATGGTTTCTTCAAGACTGGGAGTATTTTGTAGATACTGTTTCATGATGGGATTATAGGGATAGGGAGAGAATTCGGATATAAGGAATGTTAACGACTTCTCTCAGATCACTGTCAGCTTGAGTGATAGACTGAGATGGAAATTCTTGATTCTGGTCTGCTCACCTAACAAACTGACCTCATAACTTTCAATTAGTAATTGGGAGAATTCTCTAAGAAATTCATATCAGTTCTTTCAATAAATTTTGGTTTTGCTCCTTTTTCTCTGTATTCATTAACCCCAATCTCCATAGCATAGTTAAGATGTACAATAACCAGGGGACAAGTCTTAACGTGGTCTCCCTCCCTCCTGGAATCAATACACACTCTCTCTCTCTCTCTTCTTCCTCTGCCACAAAACAGAAAGCAAAGTGTCCTCAAATACTTTCTAAAAATCATATCCTTCCCCAGGACTGGAGCAAGCTGCCCGCTGCTGCCCAGGTACGGGTCAGAGTAGTTGAAGCACTCCGTCACGGATGGGTCCCTTGTTTTTCTCCATCCTCGTCGTACTCCTGTGACACCGCACCTCTTCTTCCTGCCACTCCCTTCTCTGCGTGCTCCTGTTTCTTCAAAGCCTCCCCAGTTTCTACTTGTCTACCTTCTAAATACATATTCAGTGACCAAGACGTGTTGTGAGGAAAAGGACCTTGGAGTCCACTTAGTCCAACCCTGCCTCCCGATCTGCACAGCCTACCTAGGGCAGCCATGCTCTCAACCTCCCCTACTCAGAAAAACAGAGCTTGCAGGGAGGGCATCATAATGGGAGAAAACTGCTATTTTCTCAGGTGCTCACTTAAACATTTACTCAGCAGGCCCAATTCTGTACCTTAGATTGGTCTATAGCAAATAAACTTGTTTTTTAAATACATCTTTGAAATGTTTGAAAATATCTATTATGTTTGTCCTTCATCTTCTCTGCTCTAAGCTCACAAACCAAGACCTTGCCTTTTATTATTATCATTGTTTAATGCATTACTAGTGATTGAACCCAGGGCCTCTGCACTGGGTTACTTTCCTCAGTCCTTCTTTGTACTTTTTATTTTGAGACAAAGTCTCACTAAGTCACTGAGGCTGGACAGGAACTTGTGATTTTCCTCCCTCCTCTTCCCAGAGTGATGGGATTACAGACATACACCACCAAGCCTAGTTCAATATTAAGACCTTTTAGCTATTCTTCATGGGACCTGGCTTCTAGACTCCTGACCTTACAAAAGAAATTTCTAATTCAGAGCTACCTATTATTTATGCCATACACACAGAAAAAATAACATTTTTCCACATATTGAGAAAATAAACAAGAGTTTGGGGCAACACTGAGCAACTTGGAGACACTAGGCCTAGGTCTGTGATTTTCACTTTTCAAGAACATTTACTTCCTTGTAAGCCTAGGACCAAAGCTTAGGACCCAGCCCAGTTCATAAGGATCAACCCAATACCTCAGTTAAGTAAGTCATGCATGGCATCCAAATGAGAAGCTCCATATGAATTTTATTGGCTATTTCCTAAAATCTAGAGCTCAAAACTGAACACATTCTGCATAGACCACCCCAAATCCAACTTAGTTCATCAGAACTTCTCAGATAACCAAAACCAACATTCATTTTTCCTCTTCATGACTACAAAGCACATAATATCTGCCTGAGATGAATCTGACATCATAACATCTTATTGCATATGTTTGAGATTTTCTTAATCCATAGCTGTCTGACTCACTTTCCCAAGTAGAGCTACAACATCCTAGGGAGGTCATAGTTCTTTGTGATCACAGTCCAGGCTGGCACTCAGTAAGGCTCCCCAAAACATTTACAGAGCTACATTACGCAGCCTCTCCACAGGAAAGGCAGGACAGAGAGACTACGGTCTGGTTTCCAAGATATCAACCCCACCTGAAGAGGAAGTTTACCATTCTGTCTGTTTGTTCACACAGAGTCTAAACAATGACCAAGGCTTTCAGACTGGAAAATTCACACAAATAAACATTTCGAGACAGGTCCAGACTGGGAAGGAGGGCCTTGAGATTCCTTATCCTATCAGAGTTATTTATTAGGCCCAGACCCTCATGACTTAAATTATAAACACTATTAAATGACGTGGCACAGTTTTATTTAAAGCTATGTTTGCTTTCAGATTAGACTTTAACATGTAATAAAATCCCCACCAGAATATGGTAAGAGTGGAGACTATTTTGATTTCAGCATTATTTCAAGTATGAAACTCAAGCTGTGTTAGTTAAAACAGGCTCTAGTATAATTCACTCTCATAATAAGGTCAAGACTCTTGGATTCCCCTAATCCTTTTCTTCTAGAGCTGAAAGGCCTGGGAATTCAATGAATTTACATATTCTTCCCTCATCACAAAGCTGCCACAGGCCCCTAGCCCAACTCGTGCCTCACTCCGCGGATTCAAGCTGATTTATCTCTGTAACACTCAGCTCAGTATTTGCCTTGGAGAGAGTAGGCTTTAGGGCAAAAATTCGACGTAAATATTCTGCTGGAGGTGAGACCTGAATTCTTCCCCTCCATTCCCTTTCTTAGTGCAATCCTGCAAATTTGAAACTCCATAGATTTAGGAAAAGTCTACACTGGCTGGTCTGGAATTAATCCATTTTCAAGTGAAGTATGAGAACTTGGACACTTTACTAATCTTGGAAGAGTGAAATATGAGAAGAGAAAAGGAAGTTGGACGCATGCAGAGGAAGTGAGCTCTGGGGTGGGGAGAAGCTAGAGGGCCAGTATTAAGATGAGATGCCTGAAGAAAAACTAAACTGACCGTTGAGCACCACTGAGGAATACAGAAAGACTTCGCCATTAAAGTCTCAAAACCTCACTTAAAAACAAAAACAAAACAAAAAAATCTTACGGCATAGGGCAGGCTAAGGACATTAGCTGCCCTGAATTTATCTCAATACTTGTTCTGCCCATGCTGTCTGCGAAGGAGTCATGGGAAGGGTGATTTTTACATAAAAGGTAAACAATAGAGTAAAAATAAATCTGCTATAAAATAGGCCAAATTCACCCTTACTTTTATGAATCTCAAGTGGAAAACACTGTAATTCTGGGGTGACCCTGGAACCAGGACAGAGTAGGCCTGAGGGAAATTTTCAAAGCAGACCTTCAGGGAAAAACTAAACCCTCATTCTAGTTTTATCCCTGAAATCAGCATTTCCATGCAAATCTACTCTGTTCATTAGAAATCAATATTATTTTGAAGCACCAGAGATCCATGAGTTTGACCAGTACTGAGAAATCTAATAATTGTAATTCTTTAACGGTGCCTTTAACAGGCAAAAGGCTGTGGAAGGCATAGGGATAAGAAAAACTATTTAATCTACATTAACATAAGCCACATGAAACTACAAAACTAAACAAAAATTTGCATTCTCATCTTAGATTCATATCTTTTTTTTCAAGGTTACTTTTCTTTAACTTTACATTGTTTTTATTAGTACATGTTTGCAGTACAGTATAATGTTCACATTCCTTGCATGGAGTCGGTAAATGTAACTACACACCTTAATTGCTTTTTTATCCCCTTTTTTTTCCTCTCTCCCTTCATCTCTTGATCCCCTTTGCACTTGAGAAAGACCTATCTTCCTACTTCCTGTTATCTTTTATTTGCCCCTTTTTATTAAGTTTTTTGGTACTTTTAAAGCATATAGTACAGTTACATTCATTCATCATTGGGATCTTGTACCTTTACATGATGTATCTTGGTTCTTATTTTTTCCCCATACCCTGGCCCTCTCTTCACGTCCTCCCACCTTACCTATTTACAAAGACTTTGTTTGCATTTTTTCCTTTGCTCATATTTTTTCTTTTCCCTTATTTCCTTTCCCCTACCCTTCCCACTTCCCCTACACCTTTAACCCTTTTCTTCCTATTTCACATTGTCAGTTATGTAATTTGGATCTTATTTACAATCATAGTTTTTCACACCACAGAAACTATTCAGTATTTATACATGTGTATCTTATTTATTTCACTTAAGGGTATGGCCTTAGATTTATATCTTTAAAAAAAACTCAAAATAAGGTTGGAGGTATAGGTCAGTGATAGAGCACCTGCCTAGCATGCTCAAGGGCCTGGGTTTGAGTCCCAGCACCACAAAGATAAACAAAGCAAAATAAATCAAACAGAGAACTTGAGAAGAAATGAAAATAATATCAGAGTAACACCTAGTAATGTGCTGGGCACTTAGTAGGTGCTAAAGAACTTACCACTACACAAACAACTGATTTCTTAAGAATGCTTGGTTTAATTTCTAAATCAAAGACTGCCTTCACCTGGGTAAGGAATGTAGGAAAAGGAAATCAAATGATATGACTGCTTAAATGTCCCACGGGACTATGACCAAAAGAAACAAATCTGAAACAAGTAATAAAAACATTTAAGGACTCACAATATTTATGCGATGTCCCTTTTGAAGTCATTCTGTCATCAGCTGTGTCATCCTTCTAAAATGAACATGGCCCAGAAAGTTGAAAAGACACCGTGTGCACTAAGCCAAATGGGTGTGGGGCTTCACGACTGCTGTGAACTCTCCCCGGGACACTGCACTGTAGATGGAAGGTGCTGGAAGCTACAAGAAGTAAGAAAGATGCCTGCCATCAACTACGTTAGTGTGATCTGTTGTCCACACAGAAACTTCCTGTAAGTGTTCATAATCCGCAATTTTTCTCCATTCCCTGCCATTACGAAGATCAGCTCCACCTCCTTGCCTTTCCGCCATTTGTTTTCACTGACCACTGCCTAGAGGCATCATTTAAAATTTTCATCACAGGTGTATCTTGGTCCTGGTATTGTTTTACATTTAGACATAAACCAATCTATGATGAAATACTTTGTTACAAATCCATGGAAATATCAGAATTTGAGTAAGTACTTTACAGTTCTCTCAAGTTCCTCTACTTAAGAGAAATTAAATTTTTATCTTCTCACTAACATGTTTTCATTTTTCTTTTAAACGGAGTCACACTGTATAATGTTGCACTGTGCTGTCCAAGACTGTCAAACAAACCAAGCCAAATGGACTTAAGACAGAAGTATCAGGCTTCACCTGAAAGTCCTGAACAAAAAGAACCCACTCTTCCACTATAATCACTGAAAAGGAAAGAGTAATTCTGTACATCTCTGGAAGGCTTTATTTCTTAGATTACAAAAGTGACTCGCTTTTTGTTTTATACTAAATAGATAATATACCCATTTCTGTGCACTGCTACAAAGATAACATACACCAAATTTCCTTCTCAGTAATGCTTCATTTGATTTCCCAGTAAATCGCCTGTTAAAACACTTCTCATTCCTTTTAACTATGAGACCAAAAATATAGGCATATTACTTTTGTTACATGAAAAACAATGTTCAAATTACTTTTCAATAATGTTTACAAAAATTTAAAGAGATGACTTTGAAATTTTTGATCAGTATAGTTTCAATTTTTTAAAATAGTGTGATTATACCGCCATGCATTGCCTAACAAAGTTTCAGCCAATGACAGAACACTGTAGGCAAATGGCCACCATACCATATGTCTTAGATATGTTATGCCATCTAGATTTGGGTAAATGCATCCTATGACATTCACACAATTAGAAGATCCACTAAAACGCACTCCTCAGAACATTAAGTAACATGACTGTACTTAGGCAGAACAAAACATCAAGTCTTCAGAGTGCCGGCAGAAAACAAGGAGAGAGTATCATCTGAAAACAGTTCCACTTCTTACATCAAACCTTACGGAAGAGTGGCTCCCCTTCTATTCACAGTAAAATAACAAAGCCCCAAGATACACCTGGAACACGTCTAAGGCAGGCGGGCTTCCTAAGATCTGCAGAGATGGGGCTTGGAGATGGGGCTGGGGCGGGATGTGGCCCCTCCATGAACAGAGCGGTTAGGAAGCAGAAGCCCCACAATGACTGAAGCAGTGGACAAAAGCAGGTTCCTCCCTAACGACAGACAGCCCTATCCCTAGCTCCGGTGGACATTAGAGAATTCTCTGCAATGCCTTGTCTTGTCACCGTTTGTGATTCCGTAAAGAGAGAATGATTTTGTCCTTTAGGGCAATTTTAGCTTCAGATTTCCTATCTAAAGATGCTACTTGCTATATCGAATCTGTACACACAAGACTCCTTTAAAGGCTTGTGAATTTCTTTAAGTAAATCAAACATTAAATGTTTTCTATAACTTTCCTCTCATTATAAGAATTGATCAGTTTTATTGCACTGTTAAAAGAGAACCTCTATAAATAAATGATGGTACATCCATTCCATTCCATCACAAACTATGTTGATATTCATAAGAATGAAGAGGATCTGGATTGTTTCGATCTGAAAAGATGACCACTGAGTACGGACACGTGGAAGAAAAGACAAGTGGCACAATGGTACTGCATGCAGGATACTGTGACCCCGTTTTTGTTAAAGTAAAAACAAAATGTGTCTATGAACACGAGAAAGGAACTACGGAAGGACACGTGAACACGGCCATCTGCTCGCTGCCAGTGATGTCACAGAAATGAGGCCGTGCAAATCACACAACCCCTTAATCTGCCGAGTACAGCCCCAGCTCGCTAACAGAAGAAACTAATAAATAGCTGCTGAATTTATGAAGATGCTTTGTTCTTGTGACTGAACCCTACACTCTCTCCAGGATGCCTCACATGGTACACAGGCATGTAACATTAAAGGGATAAACAGATGAATAATAAAGCGGTCGTAAAGGCTTCGAACAACTGCTTTATAAACTGAATAATTGGCTCTTGTGAGAACAATTTAGACTTTTGGATTTCCTGTGAAGTAAAAGAAAAAACTTACTAATACAAACTACACTACAAGCCTTCACAAGCAAGTTTAACCTAAGCACATGTGAGTCTATTTTCTTTCAACTGACAATAGACTTTTCCTCATTTTTTAACTTAACCTACTAATTAAAATGACAAAAAGAGAAAAAGCTGTTTTTCTCCCCTTCCCAATTCTGGACTCTCTACATTGTAAATCTTGAGCAACTTTCCCGTAAGAACTAATTTTCTAAACTTCTAAGAAGAATGTATTCTGAAATATGCATTCATGAATGACCCAACAAGAACTCAGGCATGCTTCTTTCCAGGGATTTAAAATAGCACAGCCCCTAAGGCCATAGAAACCCCAAACTCACAGTTTTACATCGCTCCTATTGTAGGCCCTAAAGCAATCCTGAGAACAGAAGGAAAATAAATAACTTCTAAAAGGGTTCCCCTCAGTTGGAGTTAGAAGGGAAAAAGACAAGTCTTACTTCTTTTTTCATCAATCAGAACTTGCAGCGTGTCTAGGAAGATAAATTGTACCAAAGTGGCACAAGTGTTTCCCTTCAATAAAGGTATTGGATATGAACAAATAAAATATTTATGGGGTCTTAAAAATGCACATTGCTCCTATTTTAGCTCTCTCTTAGTAGGCAACAATTTTGAGACACTTATTCTTCATTATTGTAACACTAACCACCCATCTGAACAGCTAAAATGCAATCCTTTGCCAATATTTAGTGAATAAATTATGCTGGATGGTTTTGTACTAAAATTATGCTAACCTTACTGATTATTTTTCACTATTTTTTACTAAAAAATACATAAAATTTTACTTGTTTACTACCTGGGTACCCTTTTCAAATACTCCCTGCTGTTATCTAATATTTTGGCACTTAACCATAAACTCTTTTATCTGTAACTTTAATGCTGTCCAAGAATCATCTTCCCGTTCAACTCTGGGTTCCACGGTTTCCAGAAGGAACAACTGGCTCCCTTCTTTCCTTTCTCTCCTTCCCACACACCAAGCACTAAGCCAAAACTTCTTGAATAAAACAAACAAATGCTTGCCGACCACGCCATTTGACTGTTTGGTACTGGAGATCAAACTCCTTATACTTGCAAGGCAGGCAGCGGCACCACTGAGCTAAGTCCCCACCCCGCAACCATGCCATTTGAAAACACACGTTAGAATCAACCACTCATGTGTTAAGGTGACTTCCTCACACAGGTTCCAAAGCCCGCTTGAATTACCCAGCTAATTAAAAAGAGCAATGACCACAATGGTAAAACAACAAAACACACAAAGGGTAGTTATATATCGCAGCCTAACATAGCATATTTAGAAATTACACTTAATCAAATACATTAGATGGTAACTCTAATATCATGGGGGCAGGATTTATTTTCATTAATGTGGAGTCCATAATTAGGGGTCACTGGACCCAAACCAACAAGGAGCTGCTTTGATATTCCTTGGCTTGGGTGAGGTTACTGTAACCCCAAGCATCTTCACAGGTGACTGGGAGACAACCTTTCCAGATGTGCTCGGGTACTGAGCACCACACTCCTACATCAGCTGCGTGGGGTCTAGGTGGCCAGGACCCTGGGGATAGCTGCAGGAAGACCCTGGGCCACATGCCACTGATTCCTTTACCCCTGCATGTGTCCCTTACAAACATTTTATGTGTGCGGTATTATGGAAAACCACAAGAAGAAGCCAGAAAGGCTTTCCTACTCTACAGCTGGGTCAGTGAGCATCCCTCCCAACCCCAGTCACGCCTGGGCAGAGAAATCACAGCTTGCTATAATATAAAACCAAAAAAAAAAACCCTGCACCTACACTCTAGAAGAGGGAAAGATAGCAAATGAGCTTCATACTGGGCAGTACTCCACAAGACTACTTTATTTATTGTGGAGAAAACAAGTACTATAGCTGTCCTTAGAATCTCTCTTGGGGAAAGAACTGACTTTATTTAGGGGAATATCATTATGAGCTGCTTACAGCCAAGGGGAGGCAGGAAAGACAGGAGACAACTTTGGTAGCTAACGCTATCTGTGTAAAATAGTATGGAAATTTGAGAACAAAGGAGAGACAGAAGCGAGAAAATGACCAAGCAATTTGCAAAGCCAAGTCTGTACAGCAAAGCCATCCAGTAAGACATGGAAACAGGGACATATGCCATAAAGTTTTAAATCAATGGTATTCATCCGACTCTGAACCTCCTCAGAATCTACACTTTTGTAAAATTTCTATACTTCTAATGCATTATGTGATTTTTCCCCTGTGAAAAATCAAAGGAAAGAGGCTCCTGTTTGTGTTTGAGTTTGAACAGTGCAGAGAATAGAGCCACTGTGCAGGGTAGGATATGAGGGTGGTAACAAGTTCAGTAGGAAAAGGAGTGCAAAACAAGAAATGGCCAGGAGATCCCTGGAAATTCAAAGAAATCTTGGTGTGGGGTGGTAAGGCAAGCAGGTTTAAACTTCTCAAAATCTATGAAATGAGGAGACAAGCAAACCTTGGCTACATTTTAAGGAGGTGAACAGACCAGGTGTGGTGGCACATATCCATAATCCCAGTACTCTGGGAGACTGAGGCAGGAGGATCACAAGCCCAAGCCCAGCCTAGGCAACTCAGCAACTTAATGAGACCCTGTCTCAAATACAATAAATTTTAAAAGGGCTGAGACTGGCCGGGGGTTTAGCTCAGTGGTGCTGCCGCCTGCCTCACAAGCTCAAAGACCCAAGTTCCATCCCCGGTACCCCATAAAAAGTCGGCGGGGGCGCTGAGATGTAGCTCA